TTGGCCCTTTTATTAAGGCTGAAGTCACTGTACATCTTCAGAATAACAAAGCATGTGCACTGTATTTGCTCCGGCGTGCCTAGTTTCCGCATCACTGGACCAAGCCTTTATTCTTCATCGAAGGTTGGAAAGTCACACCTGAACACATTTTCTTGCTTTTCAAGTACATGTCCAAAGTCGACCTGAAAGCGGATTGAAATGCGAATAATAATCATAATAATAATAATGCTTATTCCTAACTCGTGAGTGGCATATCATCGGGTATTGTCATATGTTTACAGTCAGAATGAAGCATGACTGGGGTTTTGTGGGGTTGCGGATTGCTTGAAAAGAGGACAATGTCATAAACAGTGAGGAATATCCGATGAAATAATAATAACAGATTTGTTTCCCAACTTGTTGGGAACAATTTGCATGAGGTCCGACTAGTTCAAGGACAGCAAGCTGGCATGAACTAAAGCTGAAAACCATTGCTGGCCATCATTGACCTTGGGCAGTAAGTAAATGGCTGGAGTCACAACGAGCAAGAGTGGAGATGAGGATGGTATAATTCAAATTAGGAGCACCGACGAGTTTTGTCTCAAAGATGTGGTTTGATCTGAAAGTAAGCAGACTCACTGGTTGCACTGTTGTAGGGAAGTCAGGTGCAGGGGAATGGGTTGGATGGGGGCAAGTTGCTAATACATAGAGCGACTCGAACTCCGTATACGGATTTGAACTTGTACAAGGGGCAAGCCGAAGTTGCAGCAGGAAAACATGCTAGCCAAATGTGGGCGAAAGTTCATCGGGTACGAAATAGCTCGCCTCGTACCGCAGCGGAGTCGGCACAGCTTTCACGTGCTGTCCACAGGTATATGGACACTCAATATTATAGATTGCTTGGATGAACTCCCCTTAGGTTTGTTGAATTCGCTTTGTTACTAATGCAAAAAATTTTGGGCCGACGGACTTCTGTCGATATCATGAGTTCCCAACCACCAAAGAGTACAGCAGGTAGCTTAGAGAGATGGACCACTATGGGTACAGAGGATATATAAGGCACACGGTCGAACTGGCTTAAGAACCGCGCTTTTTTGTTTGCTATATAAGGCACACGGTCGAACTGGCTTAAGAACCGCGCTTCTTTGTTTGCTGTTCTCCTAAAGCATTTCAGTGTGCCGCTGGCTACTAGCACAATGAGATTGAGTTCTCGAAATCTACGGCATTTTCAGATTTGCCACTTCATAGTGTAGAATGTCTATGCACAATGTATATCCTCCTGTATTATTGAAAATCCTTTACTCTGGCAATTTGTTTAAGTGAACTAAAGCTCCATGTGAATAAACACCGCCGACTTTGAATACGTTACCTGATGATAAAAAATCGCGAATTGTGGAAAAGGTTGACTCACACACACTGAACGTAACTTTCAGGTATTTTTCCACCGGAACAGATTTCCTCAACATTCTAGAATCTAAATGGCCTTCGGAGATGCAACATATGCGTAGGCGCATTCGTGCAAACAAATTTTGGTCGTTGGTTCTTTGTTGCCGGCAAAAAGTCCGTAGTGCATGCTAATTATTTGCTAAACATCGCGCACGTTGACTGGCAAATTACAGAGTTTTTCATTATAGGTCCCGAATTATGCTAGAAAGACCTCGAGGTTCAGCAATCTTAACTGACACACACCACTAACATGCGGCTGGGGATACGCGATACCTAACTGTCTCCCGAAGTTTTGCCAGGACCGAAGGTATATCATCTGCTACATTAAAACCCAACCATTCGGCACGTACTAAACATAGCCGGTCGACACTTCCGGCGGTAGTTGTGTACATCCTTAGTAGTAAGAACTTTCACAGCTTGTGTTTGTGTTCCAGAAAATAAGAGGTCACCGCCAGTTGGGTCCTTTGCCTCCGTAGACAAAACCGTACTGGACAGCTGCTGCTTCGCGTTCTTTTTTATTAGAAAATACGCTCGGCTTACTAGCTTCTTCGGATTCCATGGCTTTCCGTTGGTCTTGGAGGGCGCCTGTTGCATTTGTAGTACACCCATTCATAAGGCAAATGCCGTGAAGGATGGAAACGATACACCCACAAATTTCTCAACGAAAGCCACTTCCGAAGCCATAGCAGACGAAGTTCAAAGCCGAATGTGTGCCAGTAATTTTCAAAAGCGATCGATTAAAACAAATCGCAAAAAAATGACGGCAGATGAGAGTGGTTTTCAGTCCACACACATATGCAAAGACGTGCAACATTTTGACGTTAAAGTTTTTATTTCGCCCGCAGGGGTTTTACAGAAAAATGCATTGTGCGTTTACCCGCTGGCTTTCGGTGTTTATTGCTAAATCGCTCAGTTAGTAGGCAATGTCAAAGTACTGATGAATAGTACCTAGCTGCCCAGATCTCATTCTTCTACATTCCTAATCGGCTTGGCGCCTAGCTGCATTTATTGTTACATATGGAGCATGCGCAGCTAGATTTGATGATCGTGGCTTTTAAACTTCGCTTATAAGTCCATGTTTGACCTCTCCCGACCCTTTTCTACCCTTCGCGTGCCTACTCTAAAATGGCTTTTCAGAGATGCTGGTTAGCTGGCGTACGGAACAAATGAGTTTGATCGATACATATATCTCGGGTGTATATTTCTTCCTGCACTAGTAATCAGGTGCAGTACTCGGGCAATGGTCGAAGAGTATCGATTATCAAACTATGACAGTAATTGAAGTTTTCAGGGCGCAGCGGCCATATAATAGTATGAGGTTCACCGCAGCATTGCAATCCGACCATTGATGGATGAGTTAATGTCCTATCTTCCGCAACAGTGTGGTAGCTGGTTGATTAAGGGGAATAGTGGGACTCATTCCATTGCGTTCAAGAGTAAAATTACTTTGGTGCGAAATCCCAAGATGGCTTAAAATTTGCAGTATTGATAACGAAACAATGAAAGAAAGAGCACAGCGGTTTAGATGGCTACAAGAGATGGATAATAGAATCTTGGTGAAATATTATGGGGGTTAAACTGTTCTTCAGGATCCGTCCGTCTCAACACCTCCCTTCTTACTATGTGTGTGAGCTTCCGGATATGGATCGACCTAAATTGGTGCAAATGGTTTTAGGTTGCGATTGAACCGTTGTCTTGTACATATGGATTTGACTGGGAGTTTTTCCGTTTTCACATAGCGCATATGTATAGATCATAGCATGAAAGTATCCATCAATGCATCAAGAGAAATAGAGTTATCTGATGAAGCCGGTGCAGTGAGCCAAGGAGGAAGTTAAATCGCGTGGTTGACTCATGTGGCGGAATGTTTATTGAAAGTGTATCATCCGTACGGCGCTTGATGCAACAATAGTCCTATTTCCCTTCGCAGTTACGAGAGCCCTCGAACAAAGCAGAATCCCTGGGCTTATAGGCAATGTGGATGGTACCGTCATAGCGGTCGAACGATTGCTTTTGTAGGGGCGGCAAAATGGGTGTACCACAAGTGCGGCTAAAAGAACTTTACTGCCGAACAGCGTTTCCGCGGTCGAGTTGTTGTTTCGCATGTTTGGGCTAGGTATCTCAGGGTAGCTTAAATCTAATTTCCCTCCTTAGGTTAGTGAAGTGTTTGTGTCGTCGGTGAACGAGACTATGGCAACGATAACCAGCGTACAATTACCCGGTATATATAGCAGATGATGACGATATGGAATCGATGATTTTGGCATGCCTAAGCGACTGAATACCTGAGTGAACAGCAATATGGCGGAACGAGAAGTGATGTGATCACCATGATTATCCCCGGCAATTTACTGGGGGGGGGGTGATCAGATAATTCTGGTTGCCATTTGGTCCTGCAGAATCAATATCCATTAGAAAAAAGGGTTAAACGGTGCAAACCGATAAGATGTCCCGTCATTCTGCGGCGATTTTGCTGAACACGGACATTTTGAAAAGGACTGAAGGAGATTTTCTGGCTGTTTGTTCGTACGCTGGCAGTTTACAAAGCTTCGTGCCAAGACTTTCATGCTTTATCACTAGCACTAGCAGTTTTGCTGATTTTACGAATAATGTCAGGATAATGTGTAATAACGGTATTTTCTCAGTTAAGCTCTCGCTCTGATTCTTCCAAGATAGAGCTCTCGTCAAAAAGTTCAGAGGAGCAGACCGCGTAATAACGCATAAATTCAGGCCAAAAACGCCTGTACAGTGCGTTTCTTCCAACTGCATGTAACAACAACTTTCTGGTAGTTCTGATGCCTTCTGGAAGTGCCACTGCGAACCGGCACCTGGTGAATACTGGATCACGATTGAAAGTCGGATCCAGAATTTCGACCAATCAGCGCTCGACTTGGGCCTCGGACGAAGCGGTTGATAGATTTTCCGTAATTGTGTCGGTATCAAGTGTCAAGAAGCATCTCTAGTTAAACTCAACCTCGGACACAATTTATCGTTGGTTCATCACATACGAATTGGACCTGCACGATAAATACCTCATTTTTTGACTGTATGGTTATACATAGTCGCTGAATGGCGCATTAGGTATCACTGATTTGTGTCAACAACACTCCCATCACGTGTATGTAGAGACCGTGTAAGTCGCTGAGAATTATATTTGAAAAAGCGTTACACCTTACGCAAAGACGAAGAGCGACTGGAAAAACACTTAAAAACGCTATTGCAGTGCATATAAACCAAATGAAGGTTTTATTTATTAAAATCCTAAGGAGCATTTCATGAACTCCTCATGGGTCACAAAAATGAAGAATCGAAAAGTTGTAGTGATCGTGATATTCACTCACTCAGGGTTCGCAGATCTGTGGGCCGGATTTCGTTTGTGTGCCGGATCCGCATGGCTAGGCCAACCTGAATGTTTTAGGGCACTTTGCCGCGCCGTCGAACGGAGCGTCCTGGTATCCACTTGGAGTGTCTGCAGCTGTAGTCGTGACCCCACACCGTCTGGCCTTCTCGGAAGGGGCGCGTGGTTGCGCCGTGGTTTCGGTTGAACTGGTTCTCTGTTCTTGTGTTGCGGTGACTCAATTGCCTTTCTCTGGCCGGATAGTGTCATGTGGTGTCCGAATTTTAATTCGGAGCAATTCGTCTGCTGGCGACACTTCATCGGATGAGTGCGGGTTCGACGTCGCTCGATATGCCAGCAGAAACCTTTGCAAAATCTCTTCAGGTGGCCCCTCCCCTCTGGGTTTCTGAAGTGCACGCGTCGAAATGCCAACGTTCCAGCGTTCCGTTTGGCTGTTCGACTGTGGATGAAACGGTGGCGAGCTGGTGTGAGTTACGCCTTACTCCTGTAGTGGTTAGCGGCCCTCAGGAGTCTCTAGCAAACAGAACAAATCAACAATGTAAGTCAGATACAAAGTCACAAGGAGAAAAATCCAAGTAAACCTTGAGTCAGTTCAAAATAGGAGATTCCGTAGTTCCGTATTCCGTTGAACCACGACACCAAGAAAAGTTCCACCTTCCTGGTATTCCAATTCTCCGGTGATCGCAATAATAATCCACAGGTGTGAATAAATTAGTCCAGCGTTTGTAGCTAAAATGTTAATTCACGTTTAGAGTTAGTAGCAGCCAATTATAGCCAACCGGCATTCACAACAAAAGTCACTCCGCAAAAGTCTCAGAGTCACGTTGGACCCAAGAAGAGGGCGGTTGCGATTGTATTTCCGTAAAACAAACTTTTGTACAGTGATGTGACTGGTATTGATAGGGAAAAGGAAGATGATACTGAGCATGTTTACAAGTGCTACACTGTCGACAAAACTGCGAACGCCGATGATATGGAATGACCGTCGTTTGCTGATACAGTACCCTCTTGCGTTCTAAAGCGACTGAACAATCGTTGGAGTTCCGTGGTTGTAGTGACAGTTTGTGGTGCTCTTCACTGGAAGAACTTCCGGCCGCTTGCTGTAAGCGTCGGCCACGACCAAAAAGGTTTTGGCCATCCACTGGATCCGCATAATCGATGTGAAGACGGGATCAGGGTTCGGCCACGACCGTAGGCCGTTTTTCACCGGTGACTCGGCCGTTGGGGGGCAATAGGCGTAACTCCGATCAGGGACCTTCATCCTGATTGTTCTCCAGTGCAGTCAATAAAGCTGATTTAGGACGGCTGGTTGTAACTTCCTTGGAATTACAATGCGTCCTGAAAACAATAGGCATCCGTCGACTGGTGATAATGTGTCACACTGGTTGAATAAAGGTCGCTATTCGTCTTTTGTGCTGATTACGGTGGGACTTGAAAACCAGCTGCAGCACTTGTCGTTCGGCTGCAACACCCTCTCGGTGCCTAGCTGCCATGCCACCCAAAGAAAGCACGAGGGCTGGGATGCTGCAAGGTTGCCCAAGCCTAGACAGGGGAAGTCGAGAGGCAGATTTCGGGTTCGAACCACAGACCATCCAGTCAGTAATTTCGTGCTCTAGCTACTGAGCCATCTCCACAGCACTGTCTTGATGCCTGGCGGACCGTATCAGCAGTTCCTGGGAGAAGGCGAACCGCTTCCGATACAATGCGCTTCACCTACGGTTCAAATGCCGTTGTTGCGTCTGAAAGAGGCAGGGGTACTGATGGGTATCCAGCGCAACGTTGTGACCGGTAGAGAAGTCTGCACACAACCGAACGGTCCCGTTAACCTCGTTCACTAATACGATCAGTGCAGCCCATGAAGATTAGTTGGTTGATGGAGACAACCAGCCTCTATAGTTGGTCCACTGCCTGGTCAGCGATGGGTAAGGCTACATATGCTACTGAACGTTTATGCTTGGAAACTGGTTTGGCATTGGGGAGGAGGCTCAGCCTGGCTCTCGCCCCTGTGTATCATCCAAGCCCATGAGTGAATGTAGATGCATACCGTCTCAGGAGAGAGACTGGACCTTACCTGGTCGCGACGGTTTGGGCACCTCAGCGATCTAACTATACGGGGAGGAGGGTGTCCCCGCAACACTCACAGTCTCACCTACTAGGTTGGTCAATGTTTAGGGGTCTGATAAACAGTCCCCTGGTTCTCCAGGTTGGGGGTTGGAATATGTGGCGGCTTGTTCTTTTAGGCTTAGTGTATCTGAGACTCAATTAGGAGGTTGACATGGATAGGACTCGATACGTAAGGACAGTGGTGAACGATTGCTTCAGCTGTATGCTGATCGCAGGCTGTTTTTATGCGGCGCTACCTTTCGAGATAGCCGAATTCGTCTGGCCACATGGTGTCCACCAACGGCACACCGGCCAGAAACTTGAATTGATCACATTACCACCAGTTACCGATGACTCGGGTCAATAACTGACTGCCGATCAGTTTGGAACATATTTGTGGATTCCGACTACGCACTCCTCCAGAGTGACTTCTCCCTGTGTTTTCCAGGACTGCGGAATGTGCGGACTAATCACTTGGCGACTGAGAGGGTCGGAGACCCGGATGCTAGACGCACTCATCGTCATCATCAAAGACAAAACGTGATTCGAGCCTTTGAGATTCTTGCGCTGACTTTATCAGACACACTACCGTCTGAGATAATACAACTACCGAGGTACATAAAGTGTTCAATTGTCTCCAGTGCTTTTCCTTGACTGTAAGGGATCGTCTGGCCACATGGTGTCCACCAACGGCACACCGGCCAGAAACTTGAATTGATCACGTTACCACCAGTTACCGATGACTCGGGTCAATAACTGACTGCCGATCAGTTTGGAACATATTTGTGGATTCCGACTACGCACTCCTCCAGAGTGACTTCTCCCTGTGTTTTCCAGGACTGCGGAATGTGCGGACTAATCACTTGGCGACTGAGAGGGTCGGAGATCCGGATGCTAGACGCGCTCATCGTCATCATCAAAGACAAAACGTGATTCGAGCCTTTGAGATTCTTGCGCTGACTTTATCAGACACACTACCGTCTGAGATAATACAACTACCGAGGTACATAAAGTGTTCAATTGTCTTCAGTGCTTTTCCTTGACCTGTAAGGGATATATTCGCAGATGGCACGTTCTGAAGCATGACTTTTCACTCTGAAGGTGCAAGACGCATACCAAATGATGGTCTGACGGTGGTCATTTTATTCCACAGGGCTTGTGCTTTGCTCTGGTCTTCAAAGATGAGGGCGGTGTTTTCAAGTCCGTCCAGTGTTCGCCTCATTATTTCAACAATGACAAAGTTTCCCCTTGTGTTCAATCAAACTTCAAAGGATAAGGCCGGAGAGCACCTTCGATGCCATAGCTAACAGGCTGATGCCATGGTGGCTTCCACACAGCTTCCGCGTACCCTTTTTGAAGATGGAGATAACTGTCGACATGCCCCATTCTGCAGGCACCTTCTGTTTGTTCCATATGATACCAATAAGCTTCGTCAGATGGGTCACCAGGGATTTTCCGCCTTCTTTAAAGAGAGCTGGATACAGACCGTCCGATCTTAACGTTTCAGTAGGGCTATTTCGCACCTTATTTCTTCTTTCGAAGAGCGATCAAGGTTTACATTCGCCGGTGTGCATTATCTCCACAGGAGGCTGCAGGAGGCCAGCTAAACTGCTCTTCGAAGTGTTCGGCCCATCTTCCCAGTCGACTATTTTGTGATTGAATCAATGAGCCATCTTCTTCACTTGTCGTTTCGCTGACCGTTGCTTTCCTAGGTTGCTTTCCAGTCGATCGTATCAGTTGATATAGGGCACGGCTGTTTCCCGTAGCAAAAGCCTTCTCCATCTCCCGAACTTTCAGTGTCCACCAGAGCTTTCCGTCTTTCCCTTACTCCCCACTATTTTGCGTTTGAGAGGTTTACGTGCGCCGTCGAACTCGTTGTCTGCTGTTATAGCTTTCCTGGCATCAATCATGTATAGCGTTCTCGATGACATCCAGTGGTCTTGTGGTCGAATTGGACATGTCGGAACGCACTGAACGCCGCTAACATAGTTCGTTTCACATTTGGCCTTGCTTCATCCACATGCTCACTGTCATCACAGTACTGGTTTGCTTTGAAGTTTCTGGGCTAGCTCAGATCGATCCTGTTGAGTTGTAGCAGTACTTTGAAGATGGATTGGCATGCTACTTGTTGACTTGCGAGGGCCTGAAGGGAAACGAAACGTCAGGCGTGCACACACCATGGCGTGATCAGAATCAAGTGGTGTGCCCCAGAAGGGACGGCAGTCTTGAGTTGTGGCTCTCCACCGATGGCTGATGGCCACGTGGTCCAACCGTCACGAAGAGACTGGACCTTACCGTGGTGTGACGGTTTGCGTACCTCAGCGATCCATTGGGCTATACTGGAGAGTGTCCCGGGACACTCACAGAGTCTCTCATACCAGGCTGGTCAATGGTTAGAGGTCTGACGAACAGTCTCCTGGCCCTCCAGGTTGGGGGTTGGAACATGTGGCGACTCGTTCCGTAGAAATGGTAATGCATTTGCATTTCCCGCCAAACGCCGCTGCCTTGCGGTTAGGCTTTTGAGCCAAAGGCTTTGGTTGAGGACCCTAATCGTCCTCCTGTCTAGGTGTGGGCGCCCTGGCAGTATCCCAGCCCACGTGCAACCATGAATTTCACATATACAAATAAACTCATGCCACATCGGCCGTCGCGTAGCGCCATCAGCCGGGTCGCCTTACTTGCTGCATACAGCAGGGCGG